CTTTATACTTACATTTACCTTTTGGCAAAATGTAGATTAACCTACCTCACTTTAATAATTCCCATATTCTTAGATATATCCTACCATTGCACCGGACCTTTATACTTAACTGCAATGCCTGAATAAGAAAATGAGGATTTGTCAAGAACTTTGTCTTAAATTTGGTTAAAATGGTCTTGGAAAAAGTCCTTTAAAGCAGGGTTAGGGTGTCTGATACCCTCTCACACTGTAGTTATACAACTATTGATAAGTACATCAAGTTGATTAGTTACCTAGCATTTCTTAATTATTTGGGCTTAATGCCTTTACATTGTATTCACTAGGTAAGGGTTATGTTCTGTAAGGTACAGGACATTAATAAAGATTGGCCAATTTTAAATTGCAGGCACTGTACTCCAGCTACAAATGCTGCCCTGTTTTAAAGGTCCAGTTTGTAGGATTTAGGGGCATCTGTTGGCAGAAATGGTTCATCATATTCGTAACTATGTTTTTATTGGTTTATAATCACCTGAAAGTAAGAATGGTTGTGTTTTTGTTACCTTAGATTGAGCCCTCTTCCGTAAAGTCCACCATTTTGTTCTACAGTAGCCCAGAAGGGACAAATCAAACACTGGCTCTAGATAGGGCCATATGCGTTTTCAGGTCAGCCAGCGTGGTTCTTCTACTCATATGGCACACGGAAGAAGTTTCAGTTCTGCCATTAAACCCTGCACACTGAACCTTTGAGTTAAGAAGCTTCGGGTCACATTAACTATCACATTCAACAAAACACTACAAAGCCGTGGGGCTACCTGTAATCAGAAGTTCACAGTACCCTATGACCCCTCAGAGTTTGCTCTCACTCCTTGAATAGGCACTAGGTGTGCTGTTGTGCTGCTGACTTTGTGCAAGAAGCTCCCTGTAAAGGCAAAAGGAGAATACACAAATTTCTCTCTTGGGAATCAATAGTGTAACAGAATTTTCTACCTGATAGGCAGTTCTTGAAACACCTTTTTTTCTGCTGTTCCTTTCCACCACTCTTACAACTTGTTCATCACATCTCAGTCAATCAGTCTGTGCAGCAAAACATCAGATCAAAACACACTCTAGGCTTTTCGTCTACCTTAGATTCTTTTTTTTTTCTTTTTTTTTTTGCCAGACTTAATTCAAATTCAGTCCAGGAAGATTTTAGCTAGCACCGTGCACTTCATCTGGCACAGAGCAACAGTAAATGGAGGAGAGAGTTCTGTAAGGCTGAGTTTAAATTAGTGCTAACATAAAGACGCAAAACATAGAAGAGTCACAGTTCCAGCTTTGTAGCTGTCAAGTATCAGTCACCGAATGGAGTAAAGCAGTAGTCCTGCAAGGATGCACTGAGAAGGCAACAAAATAAGAGGATATTACACAACCTTTGATTTGATTTGGTTGCTTGGACTGTGGTGTCATTAAAAATCAAGTCATACATATGATCGGAAGCTCTACATGTAATTTTCAAAGTAAAGATAGATAATGCACAAATGCTTTTCATTTCATTTTAATGGACATTCATATGTTCTTCTTATCTGTATTTGTACATTGATGGGGATTAATGTAAGTGAGAAATCTGTGAAAATGTGCTGGGATCTGAGCCAGTGCAACAGAAACTTTGGCCCTGTCTACACATCTACAGATGTTTTTGAAAACTGATATTTTTTCCCTCCATTTTAGAAAAACAATTCTGTTCACAGGACCTTTGATTTACACACTAGAATGCAAAAATGACTCCAAGCGCACGCCGATGTTCAGCAATCTACCTCTTTACAGGGGTAGCAAAGTGTACAGGCTTATTTAACTGATGTCATCACAACTGATTCCTGTAAAATTTAAGGATTAAGGAGCTGAGTCAAGTGTACAAGTGATGCTCTGGACATGCGAAAGTTTTCCATCCATTCTTCATGGACAACAAGCCCACTTAAGAAAGTGTCCCACCATCATCGGGCGGACTTTGAACAGTGGACACTGAGGTGGAGCAAAAACATGGGGTGCAGCAAATGCCTCCGTTCAACCATGAAGTGGTGCAGTAGTACGATGTCTATGAGTGATATAGCCTTTGTATTAAGCAGTGCTAATAAAACATTACCAAACATTGTTGTTTTTGAACGTGAGCATGTACAAATTGAGATTACTGTGCGTCATCAATTCCCATTATGCTCCATTATACATGTCCACACAGATAAACAGTAACCAGAGTTTTAGGAAATCTGCATCTTAAAAGGCATTCTATTAGAGGCCAAATGGTAAAGAAAAATATCAGTTTACAAAAAAATATCTGTGTATGTGTAGACAGGGCCTTAATTCTTGCAAATCAGCTTTATAGGTATGAGCCACTAAAGCCAAACAGATGTATTCATACTTTTACAGCCATTTGAACTCTCAATGTCATTGTACTCACTTATATTCTTTGTGTGTATTTTATATTATCACCATCTTTGTATGTATTTATGGGGCACAGTGTAATCTGTAAGAGTAGCCTGCATCATCCCTGTATCATTTGAATAGGTCTGAATATGTTAATCCCCACCTCAGTAGATATTGAATTGACTGGAGCGGCTCTGCAGGCAATGTGAGCTCTACGCGATCCTGTCGACAGCAAGGCTTTGATGCTGCCATGCTGTAATGATAGTAATTTAAACAACATGATAATGGGGGGATAAGCAGACAAATGATATCATACACCAAACAGGTCTTAGAAAGAGCAAAAGAATGAGACAAATAGAGAGAGAGGGAGAGAGGTAGAGGGAGAGAAAGAAAGAAAGATGTTTGGAATTCATCGGCTGCACTGAGGTAATTTATATCCTCCCCTTACCGAGACAGTAGCTTCAGTGCACACATTTAGCCGTGGCAATCTTCAGGGCAGATGACATGTTCCATGTCTTTTTATTTATTAATTTTACACTGTGTCTCATTGCGGGAAACATGACTTCTCTCTGTAACCAGAGGCGATAGAGGAGAGAGAGCAGAGCGGAGAGCAGAGAGAGACAAACGACTCTATCATTCTCTCTGTCTCTCTAGGTCATGCTTCTCCAGCTAGCTCATGCTCATTCCCTTTGTTTAAAGTTTGGATCGTGTGCCAGGCGTGCCCTAGTAAAGCCTCTGTGTGGAGGAATCCATTATGTTTGTATTTTGGCACGGGTGAAAGGATTTGGGAGGAACCATGATGACTTTATAAACAGTTATAGTGCATTTGTTTAGAGTTGCCAGAAGGCTTTCATTTTACAGTATCATGTTGGCATCTTTTGCCTCGGCTGAGCAGGAGAATTCCCTCTCTGGAGTTTGTATACTGTATTAGTGAATGTATCAATAAAGAGATGAACTGTGAACACTCAGGCTTATTTGTCTAGACACTGATGGAGTCTCGGTGAAGTGGGAATAACCAGTTGCTGTACAGTACAGGCAGTTAAAACGAGAGGTGCCATGCACACATGCACAATGCTTTGCCCCAGTGACTCTGTGCTATTGATAGAACACACACACAAACACACCCAAGCACTACTGACTCTACCCTCTCAACTCTGCTGTTCTGAACTCCTCTTTGTTTGTGTGGGAAGCTGCATTTACATAAGAGGCTTATGTCAGCCGCCACATAGTTTCCCCCCTTATTCCAATGAAAAACAAAAAGACAAAAGCTATTGTCTTGTTAAGTAATGATTTTTGGATTTCTCCAAACTAGTTTGTGCCGTTCTGGAGGTGGTTAGGGGGTTGTGGTGATGGTGATGGCGAGGCTGGGCAAAGGTTTTTAGGGGGTTTGGGGGTTGGTGACAACAATGAGAGTAGATGAATGCTGAGGTTGACAGCTGTAGAGCTTATGATATGGGTGTTTGTTTATGTAAATTGGGAGCAGCAATATGACCTTGTAGCTTTGATGTATGATTGACAGAAAGAGGGTAGATAAGAGAGGCAGGGGGGATCTGTGGTTTTTCGCCTCGCTGGCATCAGTCTAGACACGTGAACTTGTGCGTGCTCACAAAGACACCCAAACAACTCCAGTACTGTATTCCAATTTTACATTGTATCACTGAACACAGTGGCCCAACCTGCTTTTGTTGGTTCAAGGCTTTCCATATATGCCAAGACATTTGTTTACTCGCTTGCTTTTCACATACAGTTAGAGGTTGGAGCTGTATGCGAAGGACGGCATTTTCTATTCATTCCAATGCCTCTTAATTTTTATATAGAAATTCTATTACTGAGGGGGAAAAAGTACAACATGCAGTTTATGTATCCATTTGTGCCTTTGTGTTTCTGACTGTGTGCATGTGAGTGTGTCATTTTTCCTTTGTGTTGTACAACGTGTATCACGGTATTTGGGGGCTTCAGTGCTATACCAGCTCCAGTTTCATCGGTTGTGGACCACTGAAGCATGTAGTTGCTGTTCTTTGTGACTTGCTCTCCGCGCTGCAGGCTTTCTTCTTCCTCCTCTCACGGAGCATCATTCTGTGAGAGGATGTGAAATGATAGATAGATGAATGTACAGCGATAGGGAAGGCTGGCGGTCGAGGTGAGAGACGAGTGCAAAGGTCGGGGAGGTCAGATGAGACCGAGCAGAGACAGAAGGAGAAGAGTTCTGCAGCTCATCCCGTTGAATGCTATAAGATTTGAATGCTTTTGTGCAATGCGATTTGAGTGGATGAATAGACTTTAATCCGCAGCCCGTTGAAACTCAAAGCCAGAGCATTTGCTTACATTTCCAGAAGTGTCAACACATTTGAACAACAGAATGTTTCTAAAATTAAATTCTAATTCTGAACCTTTCGGAGGCTCGTGACATATTAGCACACACCAGTCCGATAGTTGTGCTATCTGCATGCTTTTCATACTCATTAACAAACTCTTGCCAGACATAAGCATAACCAATCAGCTTTAGTATGCCTCTTTGGCTGTTCTGATGATGTTAACCCTGTGTTATCTGATGTTTGTCTGTACTATAGCTGTTGCATAAACATTTTTACTTTCTTTCTCTTTCCTCTGTTTGCGACTGTCAGCAAGCAGTGGAGGATCTGCTGGAGGACGAGGATGAGGATTTTGACAAAGATGACAAGGTAATTATGTCTTGTGTCAGGGACACACACAAATATATGCACTCACACACACATACGCACACTGCCTCAGGAGAGGTTGACACCGCTTCACACACACCGGAAATACAAACAGACGAACGGAACGACTCCATCTTCCCCTCCCATCTCCTCCCCCGTTCAGGTATTCTTGTTGCCTGAGGCACAAACACGTGTACAAAGATTGTACAACCTTTTAACCTTTTGAAAAGTTTTCTCTGTAGATATACACACAGCACATTTCTCACCTTTCCTCCTTGTGGTTTTGCTTTGCTTTGGTCTGTTTCTGCAGCTTGGTACACTATCCTTATTTTTCCTTTCATGTAACACTATGTCGAATTCACGTTACTAACGTTCAGCCCCGCTTCCTGAGAACATGCACCCATATAAAGTGCTTAGTTAGCTATTTAGGTCCATTCACTGCTCCTTTATGTCCCTGTAAAACAGCATCTGGGCTTGTCCAGACACTATCAGGTAACAACAGGTGGCTGCTTTACTGCCTCTGCTCGTTTACACTGTAGGAACAGCTACTGAAACAAATGCCACTGGATAGGATACAGTCCCTTGTCAATGTTCCACTTGGGAATGGTAATTGAAATGGTGCAGCTCTTTATCCACCCACTGTGTTGTCTGGTTTTTTGGTGAGGCGTACTTGAAATGAAAACAATATCCTGCTTGATACACCAGTCTGTTGAAAATCCAACAGTGTTAAACAAGGACAAAATTAAAAGTTCAGCTTTTAAAAGAAGTCCACATCTTTAACGATGAAAACGGTGAAGTACCTAGACTGAAAAATAGGGAATAGAAATGACTTGAGCTGATACTTGATGCCTTACAGCCACACTTCGGCAATATAAAGGTTAGTAGGCTAAGATGTGGTAAATTGCATGGTCTGGTTTGGTAATCTTTGTGGAGGAAAACTCTGGCTTTTTGCAATGGTAATTGTGAAGGCCTTTGACCAGGCAATTTGATATCTGAAAATTATTTTTGCCCGAGGACACTCTTTACGCCGAATTTACTCATGCAACTGCAACCTTGCTACAACCTCTCCCGTTTTTAAGGGTCATAACTGCAAGCCTGCAACAAAAGGGTTAAAAAAACACATTTATAGTGCAGATGGTCAAATAGTCATCCCACCAGTAAGTCAGCCAGCCAGCCCGTCAGGCGATGAGCACACAAAGATACGTGAGCATTACATCCTCTCCCACAGTGATGCAGAAGCAAAGTTTCATGGCTGTGAAGTTCCAAGGCTGAAATGTACAGGGGGGCCACCGACTGAAGATATGCACCAGGCAACCTTGAACCTTTTTTTTTCCTACCCTTTCTTTATGTCTGTCCTCCATCATTGCATTTCCCACCTCCTCTCAGGGAAAAAAAAATAAAAATACAGGCATTTGAAAAGCTGCAGATTATATGAAATACATTTTGGACTTTCATATTGAAATGAGGTGCAGCAGCAGCTTTTGCGGCCTCCGTCAGATTTGGTGCCAAACTGATTATTCCACATAAGAGGGCCTTGCTCTCTGTGCTCACACAGGGCTGGGATGCTGGATAGCACAGCCGCCACAAAGGCTACAATTTACCAACTCTGGCTTCATACATTTTGATCTATTGCTCCCCTCAACTGTTAGCATTTCATTTGAGCTGTAGGGAAGTTGAAAGGGGGGCATTTTTCTTTTTTTTTTTCTTCGCCTACATGTCTCTCCCCTCCCACTCTCCTTCTACCCTTCCCTCAATCGTCCTCTTTCCTGCCTTTTTTCTCTTTCAGTCTGACACATACTCTCTCGCTCCCTCTTCCCCTCTCTCCCTCTCCCTCCAACCTGGTTAAGTGCAGAACAAATGGACTTTCAAGGCTTAACAAATTTGTCTTTTACATTGGATATGAGGTCTTTTACATTGGATATGAGGCACAGCTTCAAATTGTATGAGTAACTATGAAGGACGGGTCAAAGGAGGCCTCTTTTATGGCACAGGCCTATAGGGGAGAGAGGGAAGAAGGGAGAGAGCAAAGGGAGAGAGGAGAGGGGGAAAAAAAGATTAATAAATATGCCAAGGCCTCATTTTAATTGAACTTGAAGCATATGTTGCAAGTATGTACAATCCGTCCCAGATGTTTACTCCGTCCATGTGCACGGCTCTTCCCAGTGCACCACAAGGCAGCTATTAGCTGGATAACCTTTGCTCCAGAGGCTAAATGGGGTATTACATGGCCAAAAAGTAGAGCACCTGTTTTTCATTGCATAGAGGACCCCTTGCAGGCTTTTTGCCTTGGATCACCACATGTGTTTTGACTTAACAGATTGTTGGGCAGACGTGAAAAGTGTCTTTCTTGTGAGCAAGCGCTGATATTAGTCACTTAATCTCAATGAAAGTCCAGCATCTTGACTAATTGATGGGGACGGCTGAGTTGTTAAAGCCAAGCAGGCAGGCACATGAAGGGTGAAAGAATGTTAGACACAAACTAATCCCCCCCCCCCCCCCCCCCCCCCCCCCCCCCCCACACACACACACACACACACACTGTGTGTTTGTGTGTGTGTGTGCACTGACCTTCAACATGGAATGTTGCTTGGATCTTATTGCCGACACACACACATAAAATATGTTAGTGGTATACTGCCCCAGTTTTTAACTTCTAGTTTTAATAAAACTAATTTTAAACATAATGGCAAGATGCAGATGCACCCTTTCTCCTTCAAAGTACATTAGTGAGCCAATACATAGACGTAAAACACAAAGTTATAGAAATTGTACGCTTAGACATAACCCATATGTTTTGCATGAAAGGATATTTATTTCAACAAGTAATCCACTTAGTTACCTATGTTGTTATTAGTCACCTTTCTGGTAACACTGATTTTATTTTAAGGAGCAGTGTGTTGGATTCTGTGGCATCTAGTATCTAACTGAATGCCCCTCATCCCCCCTTTCCAAGTGTGTCAACTGTAGCATTCCGGTAATGTAAAAACCGTAGAGCCTGTTTAGACCTGGTATTAACCTGTCTTGAATGATCCGATCACAAGTGGACACTTGCCACTTGGACCACTTGCAGAGGTGGTCTGGGATGCATTCGACCACATACCTTTTGTAGTGTAAATGTTTATAAGTCCCTATGTGTCCCCTGTATCATCCCAGTCCTTGCTGGGGGCACGTCATGATGGTTGTTTTAGTGCCAAGGGGCTAATGCTCGATAACTTGCCCATTTTATGATGAGTTGGACGAAGTGTTGCATGACCATCCATTGTTTTGCCCTGTAGAAGAAGCATGTAGATTTCTGCTGAAAGCACTATCTGCCAATATAACTGCTAAAATTACTAGTGAGCAAGCTAGTGAGAGTGTTAACGTAATAACAGTGCACTTGACCCCTTGATCTTCTAGGGTAAGTGACTTAGGCATGATAAGTGACTTAGGCATGATAGACACAGGTGTGAACAGGGATGTGTCTCAGCTGTCTACTTGTGCTCGGAATACTGACATGCATGTTAAAACCAGGTTTAAACAGGCTCATAGACTGTGTAAAAATAATGGACACAGCCACCATGACATCATTCCTTGGTTCCCATGTTAGAAGCCTCAAGTTCGGCATTTGGTCGTCTTTTGGAGCCAGAAATGACCATATCTGGGTGAAAAGGTGGAGCTGTGGAGAAGTGAAGGGTGGGTTTCTCTGAGAGCAAGAGGAACGCTATCCACAGAAGGCCTGTTAATTAAAGCGGACCGCCTCAATTATGCGCAACTTAAAGTTTTAATAAAATTCAAACAGGTGAGTTATATAAAAATTCACCCCCACACATTTGTTATGAGGGGGGAAATTAACTCTAGAGATATATTTTGTAACAGGCTGTAAACATGTTTATTTCTGCTGTAAAGTTTGGCATTTTAACATGGGGGTCCAAGGGGATTGACTCGCTTTTTGAGCCAGTCTCAAGTGGCCATCCGAGGAACTGCAGCTTTTTGGCACACCCGCATTGGATTCATTTTTCGGCCCTGGAGGTTGCCTCTTGTTAAAACCACGAAAGTACCTATTTATTTTTTTATTTTTAGATGCCCCTAAATCCTCCACACTACAGCTTTAACAGGAACATTATCAGAGATGTAGTTGTCATTGGAAAATATTTGATTTGCTTTGTAAAATGATCTTAAGAGAGTTTTCAACCAGAATGCAATAGACCTTTATTATGGTAGATATTTTGACTTGTCATGGCAGGTAAAGCAGAGGTCTGATTAACAACATTAATAATGACTCCATTCAATCAAAGTGGCCCAGTAAGCCCTGCTGCTGAGTAGCATGCACAATACCAGGACCCTGGAACTGGTGAAAAGTGAATAGTAGCAATTATCAATGTTATTAGTTACATCTGTGAGTTCCTGCTATTATGTTTCTGCCATCTTTTAAATTACATAGACAGTTATTCATATCTAAGTATCTATGACTACTGTCACCTCAATCATTCCTACACCCACAAGTCAAAGAAAATGCATGTGTTTTTTTCCCTTTTAATTTTATCTTACCGACTAAAAACAATAGCAACAAACCTGTCCTTTAGCACCTTTTTGGTCCTATTCAATATCTTCCAGCACAGCTTGAAGTAACAGTGTGAGATAGCATTCCTATATTTACAGGCTACTGGCTGCAGGGGCTTCAGTGTGCAATGTAGCCTGTGATGTCTCCTCTCACCTGTGGGCTCACTGTCCAGAGCTGGCATGAGGCAATCACCTTAAGGCTTTGCATGGGTGTGAGTGTTAGTGTGCGTAAATGTGTTTGTGTATTTGTGTGAGTGTCTCACTTATGTGTGTGTGCAGTGGCTCAGCAGCCTCCCAGAGGAGGGCGGGAGGGTGGTTTGGGGGGGGGGGGGGGGGGGGGGGGGGGAGGGGGGGGGGGGGGGGGGGGGGGGGGGGGGGGGGGGGGGGGGGGGGGGTTTACTGGAAAAAGGGAGAAAGAGAGTGAGTGTGAGAGAGAGATAGACTGAAGGAGTGAGGAGATTACCCTCACACGGTTGACTGGTCACTGAAGCGCTCGTGCTCCGCTCAGCTAGGCTCCACTAGCCTCAGGAGGACCTGACACAGATAAGATACACACTGCAATCATGTCCTGCTCACGGGCTTACTGCTCGGTGCACTCCCTCTCTCTTTCTCTCTCTATGTCTATCTATCTATATCTCGCTCACACACACACACACACACACACACATACACGGACAGACATACCACATGCACCTTCAAAATATCTCCCGTTTCTTGCTCATTTTCTCCTTCCCTCCCTCATGTGCAAAGTTGATGGTAAATAGAGAGTTGACTTAATTTATTAGCTTGAAGACATTGATCTGGAAAATCTGAATTACGCTGAAATGAAAATTCAATTCAAGTCTTATTTATGGGCCAATTCCTGAAGGTATTCCATATTAACCAGCACTGAAATCTGTTTTCATTCAAGACTGGGGTCAAACAGTAACCCTTCTGTGTTTTTGTCGTTGTTTTTTACCTACTGAAGCACCAGCAGGTTTTAGTAATGTCTTATGTCGGCCTGCATAGCCAGACCTATGTGCACATTTTTCTTTGTAGCACTGTGCCACCGCTGGAGAGAGGTCTGGCTGAACCAATCATGATCTGCACTTAAGGAATAAAGTGTAAAGTGCTCTGGGTTGTTTGTATTTCTTTAAACCAATCACAAGCGTCTTTGGTAGCAGTAAGCCCAGGATGCAGTGATGGTGCCCTTGCAAATTAGTGTTGGGAGATGGGACTCCCCAAAAACTTGGTATTTTACCCGTAAGCTTTGCCTTACCCCCTGTGTCACACAGTGTTGTGCGCCTGATGTGCATTTTCATCCGCTTGCATTCGATCATACCGCCACTTTTTGGATAAGCTTGCAAAACTATGCCTAAAAAGTTGTTTATTAAGCTAATCTTTGTCTTAACCCCAAGACTAAACCACAAGGGGATTTCAAGCCCAAGTGTAACTTCAAACAGAGATGATTTTTCATGTTTTTGTGATCATCAATTTATGAAGAAACACTTAGATTTCTGCTCCTTGTACTGCTGGCAGGGCTGCAACCACGACTAGAGCTCCCTGCAAATTTTCAAATGACTTTTATCTGACTGCTGATAAATTCTCAAATTGAGGTTCAAAAGGTTATACTGGAAAATATTTGCAACTAAATAGAGCTAAAATACACTGATAATTAGATGGACTAAATTATGTCCAACGAACAAGCTTACAAGGCAGAGCATCAATTTCCATGATGTACATGGGTGTGAAGAAAGTAGACAAATCATAGAAAAACATGACTTGTAAAGTCTGTATACCTCCATACTTGACATGCATCAAATAAGATGATCTCATATTGTAGGCGTGTATTATTCTCTCTAGTTTGACATATTTTCCACGCTTAAGAAACGAAACTAGCCCATACTTGGCCACTCAGTCCAACTTCTCATTTTCATCAAGCCAAAATAATTCTTGCGAATGTGCACACGTTATCATATAAAGGTAAATAAATAATAAATAATAATATGCTGTAAATTCCATCTGAAACAGGCAGCCTCTGGCAGGCTTATATGGTATGCAAAGTCTTTGACCTAGACTATGGCTTATTCGATTGAAATACAGCATTGAATAATATTGGACTGTATGACTCATGCAGAGCTTGCATAACACACAACGAATAACCCCGATATAGTTACTCCCATCCAACCAGTATTCCTGAAAGGTTAGATCAGGTTGAAATGCATGCCTGGTGTCATCAGTTTTAAGTGTGCTGTTTTTTTGTTTTTTTTTTTCTTTTGGAGGTCTTGATGAGTTCACTGTGTGTATAATATTGAGCATACTGTACATGATCCTCTGTTTCTTGTTCTCTCCTGCCACACAGCCGTCTTTCGACACAACAGTATCTCTTTATCCGTCTCATCTATAGTGCTGAGACAACCGTCCCGCCCTCCACTGCTTTCCCCGTAGGCACGACTCACACACATACATGTTCATACACAAACATGCAAGCATGCACATTTGTGTGATTATCAGTGCTTTTCTGGCAAATATGGTTATCTAAAACTCCTGGTAAAGGGCTAGTATTGGCACATATACCCAGTTCTCATCCTGCAGGCCTCACAGCCATTTTCAGCGACTTAATTTTTTTTTTTTTTTGTATTCTCTCTCCTCAGCTCAGTCCCTTCTTCTGTGTGTCATTAAGCTGGCGTCTAGGATCTCTGCTCCATGTAATGTTAAATAAGGCACACACTTTGTCTCAGAGTGAATATGGTTTAAAACTGTAAGTTTTCTGACTTATCTCCAGATAGCATATGGAGCTTTGCGGCACCCTCCCAAGCCCCGGCACTCCTCTCAGTCCCAGTCACGGCACTGCGCCGATCACTCAGATAGCGACATGGCATAATGTAATTGGACTAAAGAGAGCACTGGGAATTATATCAATGCTCTGAAAAAAGAAGTGTGACTGAAATGTTGTTCTGGGGAGGCTATTGAGCTTGTGATGCAGCAGGGTTGTCCTCAGGTATCGTGGGGGTTTCTGATGCTGAGGAGAATGGGGAAAGAGAGAGAGAGACAGAGGGAGAGAGGGGAAGAGAAAAAAAGTTTGAATGTCTGTGTTCTTTTCTTCTCGCCGCCTGTGAAGGATGAAAAGCGTCACGCTGTAAAAGATGCTTTTGACTTTTCCGCTTCATTTTTCTTCCCATCTCACTGTTTTTTTTTTCTTCTCGTTCAGCAGAGACGCTGGTAGGAACTGCATTTTAATCATGTTTCGCTAATAGAGGGAGGAATGAAAACAAAAAGGAGGGTGAAAGAGGCATGGAGGGGTATTGTCTCTCTATGCAAAATACACTGCATTGTTTGTTTGTTTTTCCTCTTTGTCACACACATACATCAGGTGGATCATCTCTCACTATCTCTATTCCCCCCAGATACAGATCTAGTGCTTTGTCTTTTGCTTTCTCTCATTTCTCCTTCAATCTCTGACTCTCCGCCATCCTCTTAACACTTTTACTTTAACTCTGGCCTTTGTTATTTAAATGAAATGTTACTGTTTTTGCACTGTGGGTCTTTTTCCGTAGTTTTATACACTTTGCCTATAGGCTAAAACAGTTTACAGTATACTCACCACTGTAATTTCGAGTATTATACTGTAGACATGTGTGCTTCTCTGGATACAGCTTGCTATTGTCCAATGGACTATCGAATTCGGTTGTTTTTAAGGCTATACAAAGATGAGTTCTGGGAAAAAAAATCAATTATGACTGTGGTCTGCATTGCAAGGCTAAAGCTGTTTTTAGAGCGGTGCGTATGTTTACAATCTGCAGTACATTTGGTGAGAACAATGTTAGTCTTACCTACAGGCTACAGCAGTTATATTGGCCGAAACATCAACTTTAAGATCCAGTTGTAAAATATCCACATTTTTTTTCCTTTTACCCTTTTACCTTAATTTCTCTGGGTGGTAAAGAGAAAATCTCACTGTAATCTATCCACAAGGACCCTAAACCAGGCCCCTGGGAGGACAGCCGTGATAAAAACCATATCCTTGAGGATATGTTGGCTTCCTGGCACTTTGAGTGGATACGAGCGATGGTGGTAAGTGGGCATGTGTGTGGCTCTGGCACTCCTGATGGTGTGTGTCGCTGTCTTCCGGTTTCCTATTTAGCTCATCGTCTGTCCGACGGCCTCTGTCTGCCGTCCTGTCGGGGTTTGTGTGCAATACTTGTCCCCTGTCCATGTCTCAATCAACACCCACGCACTGCACGTTCGGCCTGCAACCCAACCCCACCTCGAGGCCTCTGCCTCTGCCTGCTCTTTAAGGTGATGGGGGAACTAATGGGGCTCCAGCATGGAAGGCTGCTCCCGTCTTTTTGTGTGACTTCCCTGTAGCATTTTAGACCTGTTACACTGCAAGGTGACAGCTGTATTGAGGTGCAACGGTGTGTTAACTATGTTTTGCTGGTGGAACTTTTGGCTCTGAGGTACGAAAGGGTGACATTGGAAGTGACTCGAGTGGATTTTTTTTTTTACTTGTTGGGGGTATAAGCTCTGCAGTGAGAGGGGCCATAAGGGAATAGATTTCCCCTCATAAAGTGGTGTAGTGTGTTTTTTATTTTTCCCAAAAATACACTTTCAGATTCAGATTTCTTTTTCTGAAAAGCGCTAATTACATTCCTCTCACAAATAATGATTGTTTTCACACCTTATGACCCCTAAGTCACTGATAATAAGCACCGAACAAACTAATTTTCTAATGAGTTTCAGAGCCCCGAGTGTGTATACGTGCGTGCATGTGTGTGCAGTTGTGGGTGGTGGGGTGATTTGAATGCGCTTGTGAGCGCGTTTTCTTAAAAGTTGCTACAGAAAAAGCAAAACTATTTCATATTGCTAGAGCAAATCCCAATGCTCATTATGCCTAATGCAGCAATGTCTACTCCCCCAACTGTTATTGTTCTGAATCACATACACACAAGCGGCTGAACCAACTGAACTTTTTGACTGATGAACTATGCATCAAAGGATTACGACAAGCACTCGTTGCACTGTAGGTGAGGAGTTCTTGTGTGCTCTCATCCACCCAAAGTAACTCTCTCCGAGACTCTCACCAAATAGGATGTTGAAGACGGCACACACTCTCTCATTGGACAGAATGTGGAGCACAACACTTGACAGCAGTGTCGTCTGAATTTGAAAGTCAGACATGTTAGAAGGCAGCCACCACCTTTTCTTTTAACAAGAGTCATAAATCTGTAATGAGCACAGAGAGGATGCATATTTTATTTACTTTTTTGAAGACGTGATCCCTTCACTTCATAGTGATGCACCCTCGCTCTGTCTTTTCTTTTTTTTTCTTCCAAAACAAAGTTTAAAACAGTGGATGTTACAGCTGTTTCTATTGCCTGTATCTCTCTGAACATGAATATGTAATTAAAGGTACGCCAAAGTTAGCAAGAGTTTCACAGACCTAGGTGATGAATCATGCAGTTTTACCAGAACAAGAGTAAGATATGATTAAGTTAATTATAAAATATTAAATATTGTATAGTAAAGTCATAATTAGCCTAAATATAATAGGCTCATGTGCATACACTTTACAGAATCATTTTCTTTTTAATTTATTACCTAATTCCTGTACCTTATCTAAACATGTAAAAGCCCATTTATACCCTTATCTCGGGGTATAGCCGGAACAAATTAATCCAGAATTTACATTGTGCTGTAGCATATGTTTAAAGGCAACACAGACAGAGACTGAGACGGACAAACAGACAGACTGACAGACAGTCAGATGAGGGGGGAGATGGGCTGGAGCAGCTAAACCAGGCCAACAGAGGACAAGAGTAATGTTGTCCCATTCATCACACACTGCCAGGCTGGATCCTGGGAAGAACAGGGGAAGGAGAGTGCAGGAGCAGGGGAGCAGAGGTGAGGCAAAGTGGGGGAGAATTGGGCAGGCTGGGGGTGCAGGGTGGGCGGGGGTCGGGTGGCGTTCAGCGGGAGGCGAGGAAGGGGAAGCGTCGAAGTTGCGGGGTGGTAGTCATTTATGTGTACGTGTGTGCGCCCGACCTTGAGTCTGATGGAGTGGCTGGTGTGGTGGAGGTGATGAGAGGCCCCAGGGGGAGATGGGTAAAGATGATCAGTGGCAAACAACCTCCTGCCGCCCATCAGAGACACACACACACACACACACAAACTCGTAACACCAGAAACCTTTCTCTTTAGGATAGGAAGCAGAGGTCAAACTGAAAATAAGTCACCACCACCACTTTTTCCTTTTATTCCCTCTTTTTCTTTTTCCCTCTATCCCTCTCTTTTACATATGTGTATATTTATCCGCGCGTTGGGACTAGGCTGGGTGAAGAGACTAATTAATACTAGAGAGCATTGTGTCTGCCTGGTCCACCTTCAGCTGACAGTCTAAACTAGAGTTTGACTTTGGCTTTGTGGGAGCAACCCTCAGCGCGCACGGATATTCTCAAAGAAAACTGTGTGTACATCCTTCACATATACACACACTCTCCTTCTCACATTCATCCATTTGGGCCTATGGGAGTGGGACGCCCCTTCACATCTTAACGTGGCCTTTGTGTGTGCGAGCTGCTTGATGAGGGCCAGGAGGACGTGCAGCACATCTCAACACCCTAGTTAAACAGATATTTATGTGTTTATGATAAAAAGAGAGGGAGGGGAAATTGAGATGTATTCCCTGCATTTGCTCATGGATTAGTTGTTGTATGAGATAAATTATTTATTTAAACCGCAGCTTCAAAAAAAAAAAAAAAAAAAAAAAAGGAACATCTGCCTCTTTCATGTGGCGCTGGCGAGGTGCCAGGTTGCATGGTGGCATCTGAGGCCGGTTGCAGGGCCTTTTGTCTCGTCTTGTTGTCATTTCCTGACAGAGGGGAGATGTTCTTCTAGGCCACTGGGTTCCCAAGTTTGTTTTTTTCCTCCCTCAGGGGCCTCTCCTAACTCCCAGTGGGTAAAATCTGTGACTCATCACTCCCCAGAGGAGTTGGTAATACTTGGAATAGAAACAGATAAAACATATTAGTTTTAATTTTAAGGGCAGTCACTGGCTTACATAATGTGCCACTGTTTTAGGAGCTGAACTATTTAAGTGGTCAACATGAGAGATAAAAAGCCCTCCATGCTGCATTTGACTCACTGCCAAAAAAATGCCATTACAAGAAACTATTAATTCATTATGCCTATAAAAAAGTTAAACAAGGGAAAATTACTTTAGTAGTTTACAAAGCAGCTAATCACATTTTCATTAAAATATGCCAAACAAACTTGTCTCATTTGGCTGATTATTTAGTATTTCACCCCTGGAAAGATGGTCTTTTCATAAAACTGGGTAGTAGACAGACACAAATACTTTAGAAATTGGCGCTATGTAACCAGTGAAAACAGACCAGAAAGGCTTTGACATTCCTTTTAGCTCAAGAGGTAGAAACCTTAACCTGTCAGAAAGCACTGTACTGCACCGGACCAATAAACGCTCCAGCTGGTGCGTGACATAATGCCGGCTTGTCTGTTTTGACACAGACGGCAATATGCCGGCTGGCTGGTAACAAATGATCTTGTATTACAATTACATTAAGCTTAAATATGTTTCTGAAAACATTTTAGGTGAGAAATAAACAATTCAGTAACAGAATCTTGGTTTTTGATCAGCGCTGCATAGTTTTACAGTTTAATCTGAGTTTAGTCGGAGTTTAGGGGGAGATGGTGTTCAAGTATTGACACATACTAGCCATATGACTCCCTTCAGAATATCTTTGAACATAAATTAACTTTAACTAGAGACAGGCCATCTGCACATTTAACTGTTTCGACTTGAATTGTTACTCATGTATGGAGCCAAACAAAATACTACAAGACTAAACTAAATGCCACCAAAGAATGCTAATAAGAAAATGAAAGCCTCGTCTCCTACAAGTGAACAGTGTTGCACTTTCATCAGTCATCAAAGTGTATTTATTTAATTGCAGTAAGCCAGCAATTCAGAGCAGCCAAATATTATGTTCATGAGCACTAAATCATTATTTTCTTTTATCCATATTTCATTTTCAGAGAGATTGCAACACGTCAAGTTTTAAGTATACAGTAGATGCTAATTGTATGCGCTATTTATTATTCTGTCATTCCTAAATCTTGCACAGGCTTTGGAAATTGAATTTGTGTCACCCCTAAAGCATTCCTCAACTTGCCCAACTTTTCAATGTTTATTTTTTTTTTTTTCGTCTTTTTTTTTTTTCCTGGGGTGGAAATGGGAAGGATGCTGCCTCCCTCTGCAGTTACAAAATCAACACGAACGCTTTCAGATGCCCTCTGGGAGCCACATATTAGCATCTTGTCACGTTTTATATGACATTTCAATTTTTACTGTGCTGCCAGAGTGAGAGAGGCGAAAAAAGAAAAACAAAGAAAAACAGGTGCAATTTTAGCACAGCAGCAACGAGCGGCAGCCACTTGTGGTTCAGACTCATTTTGTGGTGCGCTGGGATGTATGTTGCTACATTATAACGGTTAGGTTTATCATTTTTATGGCGTAACCCAGCAGGGAGAACAATGTGATCGGAGGTTAAAACAGTCTCAAATGGCTCTCTCTATTTCCACCCAGTAGATATAGGACAGATATTTGAGTCCAGCGTAATAGGCTAAGTCCTCAGTGACCTCTCTCTTGTTTAGCTCTAGGCCTTGGGTCAGTGAAGAACATACTGTCTTTGCAAAGTTTACAACTGCTCGCTTTGCACTTTTGCATATAGATGTACTCTGGCGTGATGCTATCTCCCTGAAAGAGAAATGGAGCAGTCGAGTACACAGAGGCATTGTGCATCTTTCCTTTGTTAAATATTTAATCAAGTGTTTCAAGGAGTTTACCACATTTGTTTACCACAATTTACCAGCGAGTGCAATGTGGTTAGCCTGACTTGGCTGTTTCTGTGCGTGTGTGTGTGAGAGAGTGTGCGTCCCTGGGCTCTCTCTGGTGTCACTGAGGGTTGTTTCTCCTTAACGCATGCAAACAGCTCATATCACTTTAACGAGCCTTCTCGCCTCTGTCTTTCCTGATGCGAGCGCTCCCATGATGCAGCCTGCTCCACACACTTGTACACAGGGTGGCTCAGTGCTGAACTGATGGGTGCTTGGCTGAGATTTCATATCACACTCCGCACATCCAAACAATGATGCAAACTTTGGACATAACCACAAAAGATGCATTTATATTCTTTAAACGGCCCGCATGCAATTAAAACGGGTCTCGCTCTCAACAAAGGACACCGACTCACTAAATATTTCTGCTACCAGCCTGATGAGAGTTAATTGATGTCAAAGATTTCCTCTGCACACAGAAACATTTCATTCACGGGATAAACAGATTGTCTCAATGCAGTTTTTCATTTAATACACAGTAGTATGCAGTTCTTCAAACTTTACACATACAACTCTGAGCGGCCCTGACCCTTTGCTATGCAATGGATTATAAAACAGATGCTTTTCATAAGGAGAGAGAGACCATCACACAGGAAAAGACAAAGAGAATGAATAATAATGACAGAGGAAGTGTGTAAAGGCCTCAAGATTCCTTTGTATTTATATTAGATAGACACTCTGGAGTATGCACAAATTACTGATGTTTTAAATTAGCAAATCAGTAGAGTACTGATGGTCATGGGCATTCAAAAAATTAATTAAAGCAGTATGTATTTTCTCTTCTTATATATTCCGTCAACCCACAACTGGGGATGCTAAATTATATTCAGTGTTTTGATATTCTTGCATATATTTTGTTTTCATTTAACATTACTCCTCTCTATTGTATATGCAATCATTTTAAATCCTTTGTGTAGAGCATGTGGTTCAATATAGTTGTGGCAGAAAGCAAGCCACAAATCTTAAGGATTCATCTCAGAATATGATTTGCTTTATTTAAGCAGGAAGTTCATGCCCTTGCACATAGTTTTATATGGGTTCTTTGCGGAACATAATATGTGTGCTTGACATCTATATAGATTCAGAGCTGTCTTACAGGAGATGAAATCGTCAAGAACGACCGCTCTGTCAGCAGACTGCAACGACAATTTGTAGTACACAAACTGAACTGGCAGTTACTGTAACATGTCAGCGTAACACATTGCAGATTAACCTACAGTTGCAGTCTATTAAAATGCATGATGCTAAACTCATTAGGCAGGCTTATTACACTATCTGTCGGAATGATTCAAGCCATGCAGCATCATCCTTCAGAACAACTGCTGTCAGAGGTGCTGGGATTTGTAGCCTACTTTGAGGTTTAACATGACTTGCAACTGTAGCCAAGTCAAAGCGAGAGGCCTCACCGATTTAATTTTATTAGCCGTGCCTTCAGGTCTCCAAACAAACCCACTTAGTGTTCCTGACAGACACAGGAAGAGACAGATGGAAATACCGGCCAAGAGTCTCCTGCACAACCTCTGCTCATCCTCCTGAGTGAGACCAGAAGCTAGTCAGGAATGGAAAATCATGTTCTCATGACATATCACATGTGAGCTGGTGGATGACACACATACACACACATTCCTCGGAAACCACAGAGAGCAGGAGTCCTTCGAGAGCTCACCTCCCTGATTCACATATTTTGTATTTTGTTTGATATCTAAGCCAACAGAAAGCTTCCTTTAACCTTGACTGTGATGTGTGAATGCCATGTCTCTCTCCTCATCTTTCTGTATCAATTCCCTGTCTATCAGTGATGACATTGCAGTCTAAAACAAACTTGCTCGGTAGAGATAGAAACTGCTTTTAGATGTCAAGGGCCCTCATCGTATAATCTGTCAGGATATAATATCGTTGGTAGAGTCACACAGCAAGACCAGGTGTGCAGATCAACCTTATCTAATAGCTGTAGGGTGTGTGTGTGTGTGTGTATGTATGTTTGTGTGCATATTAGGTTCCATTATAAGAACAGGTTGCCTGGCTCCATATGTGCGCAGTGTGCGGGGAAGCTGGGAAAACAAGGTTCTCCGTGGCCCTCTGTGTTATTGCTACCTCCCGCCTCCCCAAGCCGTGTTTGAAGACAGGAAATACGAGTCAGACCGCAGTCCGAGGGGCATGTGGCAATGGTTTATACTCCGATGACCTCTGACCTATCCTCTCCACCCCCGCCCGCTCTCTCACACCACTCCCCTGGCTCTCAAACACCCTCCCGAAAATAAAACGGCCTGACCCAGCCCAGCCCGGCTCGGCATGGCCGAACCCAGCCCAGCACAATAGACCCTGCGTTCTGAGATTTGTTTGAGCGAGCAATGAAAAACAGATGGACTCTGACGAAAGGACTGAGAAGAGGAGGAGAGAGTGAGGAAGAAAGAAAGGGAGCCTTGTAAAATATTTGCGAAGAAAAATAACCCAGGGACGCTGTCTAATTATATCTATTTGTCTTGTGTGGTTTTGCTGGGGAGGCCATGTGGTCTCCCTGACTGCTCCATGGTTCATTTTTCACATTATCTGATCCTGGATGGAGAGTAAAAAGAAGAGGGTGGGTTTCGGGGCAGTGGGGGGGCAGCTGGGTGTTTTGGGTCTCAATGGGAGGGTTGTGGTGAGGTGGGGGGGGGGGGGGGGGGGGGGCCACAAGGAGCGAAATGTGGAAAAGGCCTCTGGGGTCCAGGAGGTTTCACGTCTTTGACTGCTTCAGTGTCTTCTTTGGGTATAATGATAAGGATTACTCTGAGTTTTACTTCTCTAATATAACAGTGTCCATCCATCTTCATCAATAACACAGCCATTGCTACACACGCTCTTTCTCTAACAAAAGAGAAGTATTTGGAGGCCATGTAGGGTTATGCCATGTTCTTTTGGCTTCTCTTAAACTTTTTGACTAAAGCTTCATCTTCTCCTTTGCCTTCAAGTTCTTTAAACAGCTGTGTAATATCCTTATTCTTTCCAGCTTTATGAACTCCAGACTCTCTGAACCATGAATGTTTCTGGCATCTTTACCTCATTTTCTTTTGCTGCAAATGTTCATTTGTTTAAAGGGTTTAGTGTGCATACTTCAGGGGTATATATTGGCAGAAATATTGCACTGCCATGTTTGTATGGTAGCCCAGAATGAACGAACCAAACACTGGCTCTGGATAGGGCAACTGGCATTTTCTTGTCAACCACCATAGTTAGCCCCTCCCCAACAAGACTTTGCTTTTCCCAGGAAAGCAAAAGCCTGACCCTTCCTATTCTGCCTTACTCTGCCTCTGATTGGCTTACCCTGACATTCTTTCCCTAATCAATCTCACTCATGGTGTCTATGCCTAACCAATCTAACCAATGAAGGCAATTAGTACTAGCCAATCAGAGGGAGAGAGAAGGGTGAGTCGTGCCTTCACTATCCTAGGCCTTTACGGAAAGCGGAAAATTTGTCATTTGTTTTGGAGTGGAAGAGACCTCTACAGATATTTCGGCTCCTAGCAAAAACCTCCTGAATGTCAGCATCTTAGGGTGCTTTCTTCACACTTGCCAAAATGAACTGCACTTAGGGGGTACACGAGATTTAGTTCAACTGAACTAAACCAAACAGGGCAGGTGTGAAAGCACACTTAAGTTATCATTCAGTGTGTTTTTTCCAGTTTAAATCACCGGGTCTGTTTGTTTTGGAGAGGAGGAGACCTCTGCGGATATTTCGGTTCCCACTAAAAACCTCTTGAACAATGAACACTGGAAACCGGGAGTTCACGGTTGGCACATTGGAGAAGTTTTAGCTGGTTGCAGTCTGCAGGCCTCATTCTTAGATGCTTCTAAATCCTAAACACCACTGTTTTAACATATTCTCAACAACTGGGGAAAAGAACACATCAAATCATCCACTGAGAGAATACCAGCAATGCCCCCTTCCCTAAGAGACAAAAATATTGTCACTGTATCAGCAAGAAAGATTTTTTAAAGCTGTCTACACGCTGGTTTGGTAACATACTGGAACTGGATGATCTTAAAATGAAAGTCTACTACTTGTCATATAGTATACTGATCAGCTGTGGTAGTACCACTGGACACTCTTGTAATGTTCTTCTGCTAAAAGATAATCTTCCTCTTCTTCTTGTTATGCCCCCCGTTTGTCTCCCAAGCATGCCCACCAATCACATCCAGTCTGCGTGTTGATGTCCTCACTCAGCCAACGGCTCTCGATCACTCTCTGTCACCTCATTCTGTCCAGATCCATCCTGTCCCTGCCTGTCAGTCAGTCAGCAGGCAGCTCGTTGACTGTTGCATGACTTCTTCGATTCTTCACTTTGTTTCGGTAAGGGGAGGGGGGATGTAGATTTTAGATTGCCTGTCTAGTTTGTGGTTCCCCCCCTCCACTCTACACAGAATTCTCAAGTTCTCAACCATCAAAAGTTGAAAAGGAAGAGCTCTTCATGGTGGGTGACGACGTTTAATGAGGATGATAATGATGTCACGGCTGGTGACATCATCACAGTGTGCCAGCCAGCAGAACAAAAGAGGGCTCTGCCCGGTCTTCCTAGCTGTCTTGGCAGCAGCAGAGAGAGAGGGAGAGAAAGAGCCACCAAAGATTGATGTAACCATTCGGCTTTCAGTTTAATTCTGCCTCTCTATTCACATATTCAAATTTTCCTGTGTGAGCATTTTGATTTGTTCTGCCGACTTTATATCTCTATTACTGCCTGGAATGAAAGCACTCCGTCAGTTCATGCAGGATATCCGGTGATTTGGCTCCCCATCCCAAATCTTTGACGCTATTTAAAATGTATTGTTTTCACAAAGATGCCTGTGCCCAGCCTCTGTCTTCTCTCTCCTCATTCTCTCTCCTCTTTCTCTCTTCACTGTCTCCCTCCATCTCTTATTCCCTCACCCTCGCTTTCTTTCTCGCTCGCCTACATCTCTATCTGTCCTCTTGCAGGACTCGGAGAGAAAGGGCTTCATGAACAAGCTTTATGCCATTCAGGACGTGTGCATCAGTGTGCAGAATGCACTGGATGAAGTGGCCTCCTATGGCGAGAGGATAAAGAAGTGAGTCGTAAGCCCGCTCCTCGGCAGCGGGCCCGCTCCGCTCTGCTCCGCACGTCCCAGTGGCTTTTTTTTTTTTTTCTTCCGCAATGCCAGGTTGCCCCGCTTCCCCTTGCCAGCCTCACTGGGTATAACTCAGTGCTGCTCTCAGGAAACACTGCCAGCGTGACACCCGGCCCTGAGAGACAAACACACAGGCTGTCTGTCTTTATGTCCATCACATCTCACTTAACCCTGCATGACCTCTTAACTGAATCATGTACATACTAGATTAAACACATCACTGCACATGCACACACACACACAAAACCATTTAGTCACTGCACACTCCTGCATACACGGGCGCCTTCACTTTTGCATTGAAACATTCAAAGCAAAGGGAAGGCAGGGAATTTAGTTTTGATTAAAAGCTGCAGTAAAAAAAGGAGTCAGGCTACAGGTTCCTTCTTTGGTTACGAGCAAAAACATTTCAAATCAAGCTGACACATTTGTGACCCGTGTTTTTGTAAAGTTGAAAGCATTTTACTGATTAGATAGTGTGAATTGTATTGAGTTGTAGCCCATTTTCACCCTGCAATGCTGACCTATAAGACTTAGGGGTGAAGTTATTTCCCTCCACACAGTTCCAGTGAGTGTGATGAATTTATAGTGCAGTGACATCCAGATCAGCTTGTTTGGGTTGGAAAGAATTAAAATGCCCTCCCTGACTCCACTCTTTACTCTTTCTCTGCGTGTTTGGCTGGACTGAACTTTGCCATGTCTCCTGATTTTTACAGTCCCCTTTTTTTCTTCTCTCATTTCAGCACATTTAACTGGACTGTGCCTTTCTTAAGCTGGCTGGCCATTGTGGCTTTCGGAGTGGCCACCATCATCATTTACTTCATCCCTCTACGATACATTGTGCTAGCCTGGGGTGAGCTAATGTCAAGGAATGTGTAATGTCTATGTACATGTACTGTAAGTGTAAGTAATTCACTTTGAAAGGTATAGTTCAATACAGAGCAATGGTGTTTCTATGTCCCATGCTGCTTTTTGTCTAATGCACTTACACAAAACGAATACAACAGCCATAGAGGCTTTAACAGCTTCTATGACATACAGTATGTGCTGATGTCCACTTCTTTTTCCCACCTCTTCCCAACCTGCCCTCACCGTTTGTCTCTCTCTACAGGTGTGAATAAATTCACCAAGAAGCTGCGAGACCCTTACACCATTGATAACAACGAGCTGCTAGACTTCCTGTCCAGAGTGCCCTCAGATGTACAAGTGGTGGGTGAACTTTCCACTTTCATCTCTGTCTCATCTTTTATATCTTTTTGACAACACATCTCTCAGTTCCAGACAACGGCAAGGGTTAGGGCTCCTTATATTATCTCCTCTGTCTCTAACTCCATCCTTTTGCTTTTCTTTTTTCATCCTCTCAGCCGTTGGCGCCTCTCTGTTGTACTTTTCATGTGTGGTGAACTCACCATCCATTGTTTTAGCCACACAGACGTCTAATCTAATTGTTTCAAAGTCGTTCCTGTGTTTTTCTATTAATAGCTTCCTAGTCTAATTCAATTTCCACGTACATAACTGGAGCTGTGTAATAAGATAACGAGGTTAAGTGAGTTTAGTGCCCAGCATATAACTAGGTTGATTGACTCCATACACATGCACTCACACACAATTACAGTTAGCTGTTGTTTCCCAGCTCTGCTAGTAATTGGAACAGAGTGTAAACCAACAGTTAACCAGCCCCATGCGGTTTTGCTTCTACATTAACCGTGAGATCAGATTAACTTTGTGGCTAAAGACTGTAGATGCTTCGTTAGGTAAATATAGGTGTGCGTGTGTGTGTGTGTGTGTGTGTGTGTGTGTGTGTGTATGTTAAGAGTAACGTGCTGTGCTGCTCAGGACGGAGTGCAGTTTAAACTGCAATTAAGCGGCAGCTTGTGAAAGTCGTTGTGTTATCCAGCACCGATGGTGTCCGCTGTGGCCGTTAAGCCCTGCTGTGCTAAGTTCAATGCACACGCACATGGACGCACACATAAACACACATGCAGGCTGAGGCTCAACGACCCAGGGCCTCTGATACGACCAATCCCCTGCCACATCAGCGCTGACACACTTCCTCTTTGATCGCTTGTTGCCCGCAACTTCTTTCATCTTTACAGGGTCATAATCCTTGCTCTCCTACACACCCCAGCCAACCCCCCGTGTTCTCCCCCTTTCGGCCCTCGTGCAGTTTTACAGTGTCATAGTTTACTGGGGTCTGCTTAAGCAGTAGGCACAAGGCAGGTAGCCAACGGCTTAAATGAGATCAAGCTGTCCCCTCTGGTGAAGTGCAGCCACCTTACACACCTGGAGCCTGGAGGAGCAGAGCGGTGAAGGGGCCCAGGCCCGGCAGGTATAAGGCCTTTACAAGGCCCCTAATGAGGGCCTGCTGGCTAGGGAAGGTGGGGGCAGACATGCTGCTCTGGTCTGGTTCCCGTGCTGCTGGAGTTGTGCCTACTGTATAAGTAATACTGTAAGTGCTACTGTAACGGTTATTGCTGCAGCTGTTGGAATGGTAATTGTTGCCAGGTTTCACTGACAGTTTGGAGGCTTACCAGGTAATGAGGGTGAAAGACCAACGGAGAGGGGTAAGAATAGATTTCAGGGGAGGAAAGGTGAGGATGGAAATAGAGAAACAGGAGGTGGGATTAGGACAGAAAGAACAAGCAGGGTTGATTGATCATTGGAGAGGATTAGTTTGATTATTTAGGGTGGGGTAGTCTTGTTTGTATCAATAAGGCCAATGAAATTTAGAGTCACTGTTCAGCTGGTGAAGAACTGTGCTGATCACATTCTCACTGAATCCAAAGGTTAATTTTTTGTGAAGACACCCGGCTCAGCGGTCATTGACTAAAAACAGACCAGGACGTTCTGCTCTGCGGTGCATCCCGCAGCTGCCTCCGGTGGTGGGTTCACCTCATTGCCTGCCCCTGCCTCACTGGGTCAAAACCGTCCGTGGGGATTAAGCCCTTTAGGCTCTCGGATGATGCAGAGAGGTGCTGGGGTCCAAATGGAGCGTCCCCTCATGGGCACGTGTCCATAGCACCCGCTGGCATTGGTGCAGGGGCCCACTATGCCTGATACCGTGGATGACTAATGAAGTGCTATTTCAGGGCCCCGGTGTGACCTAACACACATACATAATCACACACACACACATGCTCTCCCAGCAGTAGTGTATGTGAGGTGGGTTGGGGGTGTTTCAGTGCAGTGTTCCGCATCATTTGGAGGTGCTTCAGTGCAGCAAGAACTGATGAGGTTCTAATGACTTTATATACAAAGGGCATCCACACTGGGCCGCAGTCCATCATAACATGTGTTGCTGTGCTGCACCACAGTAACTGTTCTGATAGTTTTGTCATCTTTCATTTATCTTAAAAGCATACATGAAAGTACATAAAAGAAACTTTGCATTTAGCCGAAACAACAATCCAAACGTAGCTCTTTAAATCAATGACGCCGGGCCCCTAACAGCTCTGTCAAACACCCTTTAAAAACCAAATCCCCAGTGGTGCACAGGAGCTGCAACAGGCAGAGTTACCTTTTACCACCTGAACAGTTTACTTAAATCATTATGTCCCTCTGTGAGCAGCAATTGTAAAGGCTGGCATGGTATGTAGAGCATGTGTACATGAAAGAGTCACTGTCCCTCTCTGAGTAACACTTTCTCGTATCTGGTTTGGATCTTTTACCGGTGTACGCTATCGTTATGGTCATTATCAGGGAATCCTTCATGTCCTCTTAAACGAGGCCAAACCGAGCACCTTTATAGTGCTAAGTATTCCCTACCTGGCGTTTGGGAGGTGTCAGTGCACTAGTATGTTTTACGACACCATTAGCCATGTGAGCTAGGGAGTGCGTAAGCACGGCCAAGGCAATTAGCATGCCAAGTGGCCCTTTATGATCGGTGTAAAGGAGCTGGATCAAACCCCCAGTACAAAAATAAGCATGAATTCCAATTTAGCGCCTAATGAGCAGTGGGGAGTCGGGTTAATATTTTTAGACAACATTTATGTTGGGGATGAAACCTCATCGGACATACGGGGGTCAAAGGCAGGGTAGTTAAAGGTTGAAACGTTGCCAGATGCCATCACTTACATCTACCAGAGGTCTCTCTCTCCTCCGCTTTGTCCTTTCCCACTTTTGTGACAAATTTAAACATTTTACTGCGAGTGGCCAATTAGTCACTATTGAGTATGTGTCGTGCCACAGCAGTTAATAGGCGAAACTTTCCTTACTTTGTAATTTTTTTTGTTCACTGATTTATGTCACCTTGACATGCCTTTTCTTTCCCCGCAATAGACGAGAGTGCTGAATCCTCCGATCTGCAGATGTGTGAACTATACACAATAGTGTTTCCCTGGAAACATTTAATAACCCTTATGCTCCATTAGGCGTCACATGAGATGAAACCCGCTGAGTTTTGTGCTCTGGAGAGGACTGGAAAACAGAATAACATAGTATCATTAAAATGTTGCTCCCTAGCCTTCCTTGACTTTATTTACTCGCCTATTTTCCTTTTTTTTCACTCACTGTCACCCACCTTGGTTTCGCCTTGTCTGTCTGCCCACACTGGCATCATCAAAACACAGTCAAAGGTTCAATGTGAGAGGAAGAGAGAGAATGAGAGACAGTGAGAGAGAAAGAGAGGAGCAGGTCCCGGGATGCTTTGTGGGTAACACCGTTAAACGAAGCACGGTACACGGCGCCCCTTCAGCAGAGCACACTTCAAAGCCTGTTTTGCACTTGTACTGTCAACATTTGGGAGAGGAGAGGAGAGGAGAGGAGAGGAGCGAGGGTGGAGCAGCCTTTGAGCAGCGCTGGGTCTTTACCCACTGCCTCTCCTGTCGATGTTCGCTTTAAGCTCCCCACTCGCTCTACCAAATTGCTTATGTGTTCGCCGCATTACCACACTTTTTTACTTTCACCCAATTCCGGTTTCTTTTATTTTGCTAACGTCACACTTTCTCCTCGTCTACTCTGCCTTTTCTTCTCTTTTTGACTTTAACTAGCTCTTGTTGTCTGCATGGGTTTGGTGCCTGTGTGTGCTTTTGTGTGTGTGTTATTAGGTGAGGTGAGCGGGGGAGCCAAGGGTATAGCATCAGGCAGGCCTGTCACCTGTAAGGTGGAATTGAACCTGTGACGCATGAGCCCCATTTCTCTTGGCTGGCAGCTTTTCACAGAGAAAACTCCTGTTTGATTGAGATATTGTTTTTTTTTTTTTTTTGTTGTTGTCTTTTTTCCCTGCACCCTTTGTTTTTGTCGATCCCCTTCGCTACTCTTCATGAGAAACAAAACCCTACTTTCTACTGACATGCAAACTTTTCTTTGTTTTTTCTGCACTCACAAATAGTTTTGTTTGGACAGGAATGTCAGCGCTCAGAATTAAATTGCCGTGTTCCTTTTTTGCTGTTGTAGGCGTTTGGCCGTGTAATGGGACCACTAACAGCCAGTGATCCCGCTCAGTACCTGTCCTACTTTTGGATCCATGGTAGCTTGCAGCAAACGATGAGTGAGAATGAGTTGCATATGGAGAAACATTTTGATAAATGAATAGTTCATACATTTTCCATAACCGCTTACCCTATCAGGGGGTCGTGGGGGGGATGGAGCCTATCCCAGCTGACACTGGGCAAGATGCAGGGTACACCCTGGACAGGTTACCAGACCATCACATGACTGGCACATAGAGACAGACAACCATTCACGCTTACATTCACACCAATTACCTAGCCTGCATGTCTTTGGACTGTGGGAGGAAACCGGAGTACCCACGCAAACACAGGGAGAACATGCAAACTCCGCACAGAAGGACACCTCCACACCCAGGACTGAACCCCCCACCCCAGGTTTTAAATAAGAACCCTCTTGCTGTGAGGCAACAATGCTAACCACTGCATCACTATGCCGCCCTAAATGAATAGATGAATGATTTAATTCACTCATGAGTGAAAGGTACTGGCCCTGACACACCAAGCCGGTGGTCAACCATCAGTCAATGTTGGGTCATTGGCGAGGGTCTGTCGCCTTAGTTTTTGTGGTGTTTCCCACACGTTGGCACTAGTAATTCTGGGTCAGCCGTTGACGGCTGTTTTTCGGGCAATCCAGTCCATTGAATCCATGTTGGAGCTGACAAAGCCCGTTGGTGAGTGAAATCACTCTGATTGGCAGTTCAACTGTGTTCAGTGCACGAAAAAGAAGCAGATTTAAGAAAAGCGAGCAAATGTAATATA